TAGTGAGCACCTGATAGTTAATGCCTCCCTAGCAAGGCCACTTTCTCAGGGTATTCCTCAGAAGTACTCCTAGAGGCGACAGAATGCATGAACACCATTGGTAAAAACAAGCTGCTGTTACAGAGTGTTTCTATCAGTTGTCTCTGCTCCATAGTGGTTAAGAGTTGCAGATCTTCCTTCACAGAAGATAGTTTCTCGATTAGGTATGGATCAACACAGGCATCTATCTCCAGACTGTGGCAAACCCACGAGGATTTTCTTTTTCTTCAGGAATATTTAAAAATTACCTCTTCTTTGGAGAGGACACCGACCAATATATATATATGACAGTTTCACTAATGCTCTTGTAATCTGTGTTTGTTCAGAAAGAAGGCTTCACCTTGTCAGTTCCCACTTAGGGGAACTTTTAGAGCTTGGATTTCAGAACGTTTATTTCAGTTTAGAAGTTCTTTGATTTGTTATACTTCTCTTTATGCCTGGAACTGCATTTTTAATATCTAGGCAGATGGTGTATAAACACTCCGGAATATTACACCCGCATTTTGCTTGGTGTGCTGGCGTAGGGCATTTCTTCAGAGTATAGATTTTCTTTGTTCCGATTATGACATAACTGCAAGATTTTCATCAACCAATTTAGAAGAATTTGAGTATATCCTAATGTGTTTGTACCTTAAGCAGTATTTTCCAGCTCTTATTTCTTGTAATTTGATACGTATTTCTTTTTTCTTTCAACCAACTCTTGCAATATTTTCTATAGATATTCCATTAAGGGAGAACAGACATTCTGAGTCAGTAAAGAATAAACTTATGCTAAATTATGCTCAAGGTTTTTGGGTAATAATGTGTTCTGAATAACGAAATAGGGTGTTTTTGTTAGTTTGTTTTTACAATAGAGAATAAGGCTGCATGGTTTTAGGTCAGGTCTTTTGAATATGGCAATTTGATTTGGGACCCAGGTCCAAAATGGTTAGCCTATTGATTAAACAAATTAGAATTTCTAAGTTTTGTTGTTATTCATAAAATTGAACAGTTAACTTTGCACAACCTCTGCTCTTATTGTCAGTTCTTTAAAAGAAATATTTATTAAATATTCGTTTATCAGCATTGTATTTGCATCTGCAGGGATCCAAGACATGTAAGACATGGTTTTTGTCCTGAAAAAGCTTAAAAATCCAGATGAGGGCACAGAACTAACACACATGGGAAAATTTAATATAAAACTATGTGCTTAAAGGAAAACAACTTTTTCCCGTCTCTGGATTTTTTGAGGAGGAATTTTCCTGAGTGCCCTCCAGGCCTCTCCCTTTTTATTCACTCGACCTTCATGGAGGAGAGGGAGTGACCCATGTGACTGGTGAAGCATGCTCTAGATGGTTCCATCCTTCTTCCTCCTCTTGGAAGCTAGCTTGTTCACATGGAAAATGGACCCTCTTCAGTGTTTCTCTTCCCAGGTGTGTGTTTCATCTGGGCATGTATCCATCCTTTGCCGTGGCTCAGGGCTGCCTATATAAATCTAGTGGTTAGTCTTAGCCAATACCAGTTGGTAATAGAGTAGATATCTTGGCCTTTGTATTTATTCTTTGTTTTAATTCTCAATTTTCACAGAAACCTGGTTAGGAAGAGAAGTGAACAGTATACGATACTAAAGCTAACATCCAAGGTAGATCAGTGGGGACTGTGAGTTGTTGGGGAAGACATGAGATTCATTGGGTTTGGATCTTGAGAAATGACTAGGACTTGGAAAACAGAAAGAAGGCAGGAGTTTTTTTCAGCCTCATTTGTAATCTCCTTAACTTTTAAACTAATGTTGTGGGGAGAGATAATTGATTTTTTTATTTGCGGGTGACTTCATAGCTTGAGGAAAACAATTTGAAGAACATCACAAAGAAAAAAAATTGAGGAGAGAATTCTAGATATTCATAATTTTCCAAGTTTGTGGATCGAAGCAAGATTTTGTTCATGATTGCTCTAATGGCAAAATGTTTTCTAAAGAAGGGTCATTCTCCCAAACCCACTAGTCAAAGTTAGCCAAGTTTGTGGAGAAGTGGCTTAGTCTACCAGACTTTCAAGTCCTACCGGTTGAGAGCAGGAGGAGTAAGTAGGGTGCTGCTTTCTGGAGCCACTTGCATCTTTGGGGCTCCCCTCTTCTTCAGGGTCTTTAAGGTGGCCACTGAGGACCAGATGCCAAACATAGAGCACAGCCTTCTGAAGGCATGTTGGAAAGTGGTCGCTCCACACGCCATGTGATTGTAGGCAAACCAGCTGGGTGCTCTCAAGGGTACTCTCATTGCTTCTCATTGGTCAGACGGTGAGATAAGGGCATGCTCTCAGACAGAGCTTTTGTTAGAAAATTTGAGTTAACCAGTAAGTTCTTGGAGCTCTATAAAATCTTGTGCATTTGAATACAAACAGATAGAAAATATTATCTCCAAATTAGCCCTCCTGTGGTGTTTTCAAACAGATCTGAGATCCCCATTTACATGGAAAAAAGCCTCTCAGAGCTTATTTGAAATCTGAGCGGACTGCAAAATGATTGATTTGTAGCAAATATGGCAGAATGACCAAGAGGGATTCAGGACAGCAAAGGACATTGTCTTGAATGAGATTAAAGATTCCTTAGCATGTCATGAACATTCCTGTACTTTCCTGCTTCCTCCAGTTCCTCATGCTCCAAATCTCGCCTCTTTC